TATAGTTAAAATGATGGGAAGGGACGCTGGAACTCAAGAAAACAAGTGCAGATTATCTCCTCCCCCGTACATCACATATAGATTTATAGTGGGTTTTTTTTTACTAAATAAATCTAATCTAATCTACTAGCGATACCCTGCAGATGTCCTTCCCTCCATCTCCCTTTCTCTCTGTCTGCCCCTATCTCTCTCCGTTAGTTTCTCTCTTTGCATCTCTGACTTTCTATTTGTATCTCTCAGTTGTCTGTCTCTTGTCTCTATGTTTCTGTCTCAGTCTCACTCACTTTCTCTTATGCGCAGCTGCATAAAGAAATATGACTGTTTTCCAAGTAACAATAAGCAAAGAAATATACATTTGCATACAAATGTAGGCTCTCTTGATGACAAAATAGTTTATGCATGTTGTAAACAGATCAGAAAACCAGACATAACTTTGATTTGAACATAAAAGAGTTAAGAGCGCAGATTGCCAAGCGAGAATGTGTATTAGAGTTTAATCAAAAAACAATTTTCTCAACATAAAATAGAATCTGCAGTCTATGGACTCTTGCTGCACGATCAAATGACAAAATGTACAATAAAGAAATGTGTGTTTCAGAGCACAATTAAAAATGGATGAAGCAGTAAATCAATGGACTAGAGTGAGTGTGTGTGAGTGTGTGCGTGAGAGAGAGAGCGAGTGTGTGCGCGTGCGTGTGTGGGTGCGCGTGTGTGGGTGCGCATATATATATATATATGGATACATAGATATGCACCATGTATAAATGATAAGTGAAAAAAGAAAATAGGTAATTTTTATATGCTTGGTAGATTTGCAACTTGCATGAATTGACTTACAGCAAAGGCAGCTTGTTTGGATCAACTCGATTTTCTTAGCATTAGTATCTCAAGAGAAGTCTTCAATCATCATCAATAGCAGGATGTTCCATCAAAATAATGGACATTACCCTAAAATTTATAAATCCATTGAGATGTGTTCTCTGTCATAACTGTTTGTCAGTCAGAGAAATGCCAGAAAATACTACACATTAAATGACCATGCTTTGGACGTTTTCACAACTGATCTGCTCATTGTTCTCACTTGGGTATACCCCTTTTTTAAATATATTTTTTAACATGTTTGTGTACAGTTTTTTCATGTTTTGAGTTTGTGTTGACAGTAGAAATACAACAGAACATAAAAATCATCATACACTTGCGACAAGTGTTAATGAATAATCAATAATGCAAAATCACTTTTAACTCTCACGAACTTATCATTGAATATATGAAGATGTTGACAAAACCACATTAAAAAGGCATATTTTTATAAAGATAATTTAATATAGTACAGTATATTTAATTCAGATATACAAAATGTACTCAACATACATTTCATTTACATAATGAACTATCAACAAAATAGTTTTTGGTGCATAATATACATAATATACAAATTTTCAACCATTCATAGGTAAAACTCCCTTTTACTGTAACAAGAAAAGCTACATACATAAAAATATATTACCATCAGCAACCCATACAAATTCCTTGTACTGACAGCCAACAGTCATAGCTGGGTCAACCCTTAGAGACTTACTCAGAAAAGAACAGTACAGAAAGAATCTTGTAGAATAGAAGATATAAACTATCATTCAACTTTAAATGAAATCCAATTTTATAAAAAATTAATATATCCAATGCTTTGTCACTAATTATTATTAACTGTTTCTTGGGCAGCTTATAAATCACCAAAATATTCCAATGCTTGAGCAGTTTTATTAATTTTTAAGAATTGCCTAGTCATTCATTGACTACAAATTCCAAGTATTTACACAGAATTTTAAACCATCTCTCTTCACTTATAGCACCAAGTTCTTTCATTGTCTACAGCACCTTTTCCCAAAAATTTTAAAACTGAAATCAGTGAAAATATTCACTGAGGAAAAAATCTTTCAGTGCATTCATTACAAATTATATTACTTTTTATGCTTATATTTTATATAACAACTTTTGTAATCTGCCACTCATAATGTACTTTTAATTTTTGATATAAATCACTATAAAAGCATTATTACTTAGAAACACAGTGTTTTTTGTTTTTAAATTGTTCACCAAAATTTTGAACATGATATTTTTTTTTTATATTTCCAGAATAATATCAAATAACATATAAAAGAAATTAGAATCTTATAAAGAATTAAAAAGCTATTTTGAGCCATTAGAACTTATTCAAACGAAACATATAAAATAAAAATTCTTAACACAGAACAACAACAAACTCACAACAAATCACATGCAAAATTATGGATTTGCTGAAATGAGCTGGGAACCATAGTGATATTGAAACAAATCACTTTTCCATCCTTTTCCTACTCCTTGGACATACATCATTACTAAAAAATTAGAAATGTTTACGAGTTAAGTTTAACAGTTAAGATAAATAAAAAATGAACATGGAGGATTTAGAAAAGTGCACTGACTTTCCACAAAACATTAGCCAACTGCATTATTATAACACAATTAGCCAGCAGCAAGTGCAATGTGACAATACAACTACTTTTCCACACAACATAAATTTACCTCCAGCAACTTGAAAAGTAATGAAAGTTATGCAATTTTACAAACGTTTGAAAATAAAAATAAATGGAATACCACTACGTACGATTAACACACTATATGAACCAAAATACACCTATTCCAAAGTTTAACCCCTTTCATATTCTTCACATAACAAGAGTTCTCTTTCCTTGTTGCCAGAAATCCACTGATGATTTCTTGTTTTTTGCATTCAGCAGTCAGCAATGCCAAAAAAACTATACAAGGGAAGGTAGAAGAAAACAAAAAAGCTACGATTTGTTGATTTTCTTAAATCAAAAGGAAGTCACTCAGCTACCCTTCATTTACCCATCCTTGCTTATTATAGTAAATAAAAAGATGCTGAAGAGAGATGGCATTATATTTTTCTTCAAAGTTTCTTGCTTATATAAATAAACATCACAAAGTAACTACTGCCTCTTAAGAAATTTAAAATTCTTAAATTTCTCTGGTCAGATTTGTAAACAAGATGTAAACTAAATTATCTAGCAAGTAAATTCAAAACATTTCAAAATTCTAGATTTAAATTTGTATTACAGATCTCATACAAATTCTTTTTCTTCCTACAAAGAGTCAGTGTTTAAAATATCACTCTGTTAATTCACCATCATAAAATTATTAAACACTTTGCAACTTCATAATTTAAAAATGGGAGCACTTTCAAATGTTTCTATTACTCACTATCAAAGAACAACTGTTTTTTCTTTGGACAATTTTTTTGAAATTGAAGAAAGCATTCTCTTTAAAATACTCCCAATTTTTTTATTTACTCAGATGGCAAGCATTTAAAATTTCCAAGACAGGTGAATGTGTAGTGTTCTACTTGTTTAAATAGAAAATTCAAAAGCATCCCCATTCACAATCAGACCAATACTTTGTCAATTGCCTCTACCTTTAGTATTAAAATCCTTTGCAAAACCCACTATGTCAAGTAACATTTACATTCATGAAATAATGAAATCAATGAATAAGGATTAAAATCTCACTTAGAGAAAACAAGATAAATCTTCAGGTTTATTGTGGTTAACTCAACAATTCACTGTAAGTTTCACACAAAGAGATATCTTGGGGCACCTATGACTAGCAAACAATATACTAATCTGTGCAGAAAAATAGAACATTTTACAATTTCATTCTGTGACAGTAAGGCTCTCCCAACAAACAATTCCAAACGTTTTAACAAGATCAATCTTGATCTCTTCATAATATATACTCACCCTAAGCAAAGCAATAAAAAGAATTGATCCACTTGAACAAAAGATTTTCCAGCAGATAATTTTCTTACAACATGAAAAGTGAATCTACACCCCAATGTCCTTTCTAGATGGTGCATGCAATCACATCAATAATGGTACAAACCGACATTCAAGATTGGTTTGCCTGATGGGTACATATTAATACCATTCCATATTATCATGACGTTTTCTGTTCATGTCTATTTAATACTGCTCCTACATTTAACAATCATGTCTTACAGAAGATAAAATTTTAAATTCTACAAATGTTTACATACTAATGGGTCATTATGCTACAGAATTATTCTGAGAACACTGACCTCATAAAAATTCACACAATACTGTCACAACATAAGTCAAAGTGTTTTCATTTAACAAAAAGCTTTCATACCAAACCCCAAAACAAGATAAATGACTTTAACAAGATATTCAATTCAACCAATATGTACTACAAAATGAATAGAGATAATTCACATATCATATAATAACATTATAATACAGAAAATTGTACTTCATCTGTCACAAATCAAACAATACAGTCTGAAATCATCTGGACCAGTTTTTAATGAAAAATGTTGTTAGTACAGAGGAAGACTTGCTCACTTCCAAACAAACAAACAAATTCAATCAGCAATAATTTACAGGTCATGCCTCTCAAATCTAGATTTTAGTAGATCTTAAATTAACATTCCTATTCCCTCAATACTTACAATTACAGATCACATATTCATTTTTTTAGTGTCTACAAACCTACATAGAGCATAATTTTTGTTTATATTATACTATATTACAAGAAATGTTTGTCATTGGTACTTGTACTCATAAAAGCAGCAGAAAATAATTCAAATAACTATTAATCATCATGTAATTGCAACAACAAGATAGTTGTGAATTTTTAATAAGAAATACCTTAACATCGATTCTCAAAATCTGTAATTGACATGATCCTACAAGCAGACCATACTAAGTCGAACTACTTACTGAATAATTATTCTATTCTAGATGAATTTTATTACTAAACAACAGTTGATTTGAGAAGAATGACCCTACCATTAAAAACATTCACTTTTGAAGACTGGGGTACTTAAGATTAACAGTTCCCTAATGAAAATGAAACGCCTTCAGTCTCAAAAACAAATATTCTAAAAAAAAAAAAAAGAAAGAAAGAAAGAAACGCTTTCATTGTTCCTACCTATAAACAAAAATTAATAGTTTATTAAATATATACAATATAACTAAAGCAAATGACTTATGTTTTAATGAAATGACATGCCTTCCTACACGTCTATGCAAAACTACAGATTATATGGAATTCTTCAGAAAAGTTTTCCAAATATTTCAAAGCCATGTTCTTTGATCTGACACCCTACCATGAACATCAGAGTTCGGTTGTTGAAAATTGAAGACTTTTGCTACAATACAAGGAAAATATCAAATGAACTTGAAATCAATTATTAACCTTTTAACCTCAACACAAAGTTAAAATAATTGCTCAATCATAAATGAACAGGAATGTAGTCATTTCAATAGAAACAAATCTCTCACCCACTCATGTTTCTTTTGGCAAGAACTCCAAGCAGAAAACAATTTTTATGAAATTTGAAACTCAAAAACCAACGTAACAGATGAAACACCTGCATGTATAAAATATGCTTGAGCTCGATATGTTTCTTTATCTTTCCCAATGCGAAGCTATCTTCACAAGACACAAGTCTGCAGAAACATTAAGGAAGAATTTCAAACACTTCACATCACCAAGTCTCTGATTGTTCTGCCCTTCCAAAGATCATCATTCGCATTTGCTCTTCACAGTTACCATTATCATGTTAGTTTGGTGTATCAAGTAGAGCGCGCTGACAAAAACTGCATTTGCCCTAAAACATCATTACTCTTGAGACTTTTCAAATAATATAATTATGATAATGACATTAAAATAATTCAAATCTTTTATTTTGAAACAATTGCAGAATTTGTTATATCCAGATGCATACACTTTAGCAATGAGATATGGTCATCTGTTGACGTATATTTCCAATTTCTAATTTTCAAATTTAAAATATTCTTACAGTATTCAGACATAAATATTCTCACTCGATAAATAAACAAATTAAAAAGTATAATTGAACCTAATACCCTGAGATCAAACAGTAATTGACTGATACATTAAAAATATATTAATAAATGAAGTATGAATCAAAACTGAGACAAAGTTAGTCATTCTTTGCTACATAAATAAAATCATTTGCGCACTTAACTCAATTACTAACTCAGAAACAACAGGTAGATAAAAGAGTTCATTAATTTCAATTCTGTGATAAATGTTTTAAATGAATTCTTCCCCTAAAAAGCCCTTCCCCATAAAATAAAATTCACTATAAATATTTCAACCAAAAATAAATTAATCAAAACAACAGTACTTACTGTCCTTCCTTAAAATATTCTTTCAAAGTATTGCTGAATCTTTTAGAAAATTTAACAAATTCTCTTTTACGTTGTTCTAATGCCTGCTTTCCTGTTGTGCCAGGAATGAAACCAGCAACCTCATTAACTGCATCCAGTAACTTTTTTATTGCACTAGCAATTTCTCTGAAATTCATAATAGTTAATGAACAACGCTGAAGTGGTAAGGTGTTTACATTTATTTGTGAATTAAATTTTGCTACTTCAATTTCACTGTATAAATTAAATGTAAGCGATGAATACAGTTGCATATTCTAAAAATTTAAACACAAAACTTAAGAAAATAATATTTTCTTACTTGATGGTTTCCAAGAATGTTTTTCTATCTGTAATCTCATCAGGAATACGACTCAAAATCTTTTTCAATGCAGCTGACTTTTTATTTAATTCTTGAAAGGCATCTTCTGACCGACTCAATCTATATTCTCCAACTAAAAGAGAACAATAAGATCAATACAAGTGCCTATTTAAGTCCCTTCATGAGAAACAAATAAATTAAATTAAGACTATTGATCAAATGGAATAACAAATATTTTAGAATATGCAATCACTGAGAGGTTTTCAAAAAACAAAAAATAATGGCACAAAGGAATGAAGAGTCTAAGTAGTGCTCAAATTAACATTGGCTCATCAACTTTATGTGTAAAAGTAGTTAAAATTTGAAATGAAGCAATTAGAGGAGAACCAAAAGTACAAATTTTGCAAAGGAAAATTAAGAATATTAGAGGAAATGGAGAAATACTGTGAAAAGTGTGGACAAACAAACAGTACCAAAACTGATGGCAATCTACTGAGTTAAAAATTAATGTGAACTAAAAAATTATAACACTTACTACAGAAAACTTAAACATGCAATCTTAACATTATATAATTGTACAACATACTAACATGAAGGTTTTTATTATTTTGTAGAATTTTTTTTTCAAAACCGATCAATTGGTTGCAAATTGAAAAACAATATCTTGGGGTGATATTTAAAATTTCATGTCCAACTTCTTTCCTAAAATGTCTATTTTGTTTTTAATGACTTCAATGGTTTCATTATTTATTATTACCCTTAAATTATTTTTGTTTGCAATTCAACTTAAGTTTATCTTGGGGGAGGGGACGTCTGGAATTTTGTGTAATAAAAATTTTGATAGTTAATTTTAAAGGACATTTGAAAGATATTTAATTTAAAAAATGTAATTACTACTGCCTCTTAATCCACGTGATTTATGGCCTCTACGGTATGTTCATTGACAGTTTGAACATCCAATTGTTTAAGAAATTTTCCTGTCAGATTTTATAATCTGTACATTGAGAGTACTCCAGAGTGGAAAAAATAACATTAACAATTGTTCCAAGTATGTAGAATAGTCTTAACAATTATCTTTTAACATGACTTGCTGGTAAAGCACTAGAATGTGTTTAAGTTTTTCCCAATTTATTTAATATCCAGTGGTGTGTTTGCAATGCCCGAAAAAAAGGATAGTGAAAGTTGCCTTCAACTACAAGCCAAAAGGGAGAAGAAATGTGGGAAGACCACTCAGAAGATGGAGTGAGCAGTTTTAAGGAGCCAGAACAGACTGAACAAGTCTAATCCTTGCAGATGACGTTTGTTATTCCATTTTTTTATTTCACTTTTTATGAAAATTACTTTGAACTCTAGAACAGAGTTCAACAAACAGAAATTCACCATCAGTCTCGGAAATTGTTCCTTGAAGTCGCAGAACGCTTTCATTCATATTAATACTAAGTTCTCCTCGTCGCAAAATTCCAACGACCAGATCATAGGTAAAACCAGGATATGCTGACTCTGCTTTCGATAAAGCTGCTCGTAAAGTCTGTGAAGCAGCCACATCGCGTCTCTCCAACTAGAAAAACACAACGTCCACATATCATTGATCTTCACATACACAGAGACAAACACTTGTACAACAAAATTTGTACCTGAGACAAAATGGGGCGTATAAGGACGGGAAGGACAAGCGAAGTAACTGGTGACTCATCTCCCATTGTCATCCTTCTGAGGATCTTGAATTAATCCTATATTTCACTTTTAACACACAGGGTATCACAAAAACACACTTAGAATGGCGATATTAAGAATAAATTTATGTAACGTTCCCTAACACAAATTTTGACATCCAGCACTTCGCCACATCAACTAACATTCCATAGAAATTACACGTATCAGCTGACATATAAGCACAGAATAATGTTATTTTAGAATCCTCATGATTTTATTTCCTGCTGTTGGTAACACTATGGAACAAGCTTCTTTACTGACTTCATGGAATACTATTCTCCAATAGAAAGTGACAATTGAAGAACAGATAATTCAATACAAAATTCTTTTGTGTCTTTAATGTGGACAAGCTTCTTTTAATGATTGTTTGTTTCAAAAGCATCTACAAATATGACATGCTTGAGGGAATATTGTGTGATATTGTACAAGAAGAGCTCGAAAAGTTTTAAAATAAAGTTAAGGTATCGAAACTAGCGAAGCCTAGTAAAGATCCAACAAACCGAAAATGTTTAGGCGGTTTGTTTAAAAGTCAGAAATTATTTCATATTTTCAATAATTTTTCCATATTTGGATTTGATTTGATATAAACTTCATGTGTAATTCACTTTTTTGGTAGGAGCTGGCAAAGTTCTTCAAAATGATACCTGAAAAATTATTTTTCCATACATGCACTTTGAATGAATTTTATAATTCAAAAAAACTTAAGAAAAATAAACAATGCGCAGGAAATGTTTTAAAGGTCATAAAATGTTCTACTAAATGCTTTTTTATTAATTCCAATAGCATCAGCACAATTTCGATAATTGGAAGTCAAAAGTATTCTTACTGTAAGTTTGGCGGGAGTATACAATACAGTTGTTTACATCTGCTTGAAGCAATGATAGTAGCAGCAATGGCAAAACGTCTGTCCTTCCGTCTGTGAACAATACTAGCCGCTAAACCGTTCAGCCGATTTTCTCCAAAATTGATATTCCCTAATAAATTTGGCTGATGTCGTGCCCCCTTGAATTTGAAAGCGATATTTTAATTTTCGGGGGTTCTTCCCGTGAAACCACTGATATATTTTCCAAATTCTCAAAAAAATGGATCTAATGTTTTTGATTCAATGTTTTTGTTGGGTAGTGTGAAGAACGTTTAAGAGAATGGTTCAGGTTTCATGTTCGTTGAAAATCTTGATTTTTCAAAAATCGTAAAGGTTCAAATTTTTTTCGGAGTCTTCCTACAACTAAAATTTTAAAAATAGAGAATTTTTCCCTGAATGAAATCTGTCTCTGAAAGATAGCTTTTGAAATAAGTTCACGTACAAATCTTTCGAAAATTTGAGTACCTTTTGCGTAATTTTGCGTGAAAGTACGTGCTGGTTTAGCACCACTAGTTCCTCAAATCCCTCACGCAGACCCCTGCGTATTGTATGCCATCGCAACCACTGCATCAAGCACGAGTTGGGTTGGCTCTTTGCTTCTACTAAGTTACGTCTGTTTCCCTGCGGGTCGACCGGTTTGTTACAGATATGACCGCGACAGCGACGTCCAGCACATGTCTAACCACTCGGTTGTGAGGTTGCTGCCACGTAGGGAGGTCGGAGAGATACTCTGAAACAACGTGCGCGATATTCTCGAGGGCAGGGTTTCTACTCTCGCGCACGCAGCCCCGGCGGCAGACTTTGAATCCACTTCGTGGATTATTGTTTAACTTTTTAGAGCTATTCAGCCGGGCTGAACTCACGAATTTTTATATATGCGGGCGCCTGTTGGCCCCTAAACGCAGGAAGTCAGAAGAATTATTTCTGTCCTAGGGCCGAGGCAAAGATGCCCTACCTGCGCAACCCCTGCCATATTTTTTGGTATGCCGCCTGGTATAGATTGCGTAGGCGGCGCACGAGTTGCCCCCAGGAATTTACCAGAATCTAGCCTGCTTCCCAAAGGTCGCCCGCGGACAAGCTGCCTCCGACTGTTACAGGGGTAGTAGGTTCGCCGGGTCAATGTTTTCGGAGTAACGTACATAGTAGAGAGAAAGTTACGTAATGCTGCGAAAAAAACAGCGGTTTTTCGCCAGAAAATCTTGAATTGTGGGTCCAGAAAAAGGGGATAAATCTTGTTCCGATAAATAGTAAATTACTTTCTCTAACACAATGTGTAGTCAGAATCCACGATTTGTGGGTCCTTAATAACGAAAACTAGGTTCACAGCAAAACTTCCGTGATCAACAGCAGTGCCTAAATTATATATATATATATA